CCGAGGTGGCAGTAGCTACACTCCTCGAGCATATAACATTGGGCTTGGTAGAAGCTGCCCAGGCGGCCACCCCGAAAAAGGCCTCCAGGATGGAGACTGAGAGAGACACAGGAGGGAGAAAGCGGCACCGAGGAGCGGAGCCAAGAAACTGCTGGTGGGACGCAGAGGTGAAGGAAGCGAGAAGGAAATTGAACCAGGTTAAGAGATCTTCTCGGGCAACCAAAGACGATATCGTATCGGGACGCAAACAGTATAAGGCACTACTCAGATCGAAGAAGACTAGAGCCTACCATGACTTCCTAGACTCCCTGGGAATTTCCCAGTGGGAAATGCAGAGTCCGTTGAAGAAGTCTACAAGAGTATCGAGACTAAGAACACGACAAGCTGTCTGGTCTTACTGGCAGGGGATGCATGCCCTGACAGCACATGCTCGCGCCTTGCAGACCAGTACATTGGAGGCACCCCGGCAACCCCCAGGAATATGGTGCAGACAGAGTACAGGTTAACCAGGTCTCCAGATCCTCATGACAACTCTACCTTCCTCCATGATGGCGTTGTATCTCCAGTATCAGCTGAAGAGATTCAGCGTTCCTTGCAAGCAGCACAGAGTAACAAGGACAAGGGGGGAAGGACGGCCTACGATGGAGGCACTTACTGGAATCGGACCAAGTACTACTTCCACTGGTGAGTCGCCTCCTCTCGTGGTGTCTGACATACTCAGTAGTACCAGAGAGTTGGAAAGAGGCTTTAGTTATCTTTATACCGAAGCCGGGGAGGGATATGGGAGATAATATCTCCGAGATATCCCATCGAGGAGGCCGGTAAGCTTAACATCAGTGTTCAGCAAATGGTTTGAGCGTACGCTTTTGAACCGCTCGCCTGGCATTGACTCTTATTTGAGAACCGGTGGTCACCAGTTTGCTTATCGTCGTCACTTAAGTACGATCCACGCAGTGAAGAAGATAGTGTACTTCAGAAGAGACCACAAGCACTATTACATCCTCTCAGTTGACGTCAAGAGTGCGTTCTGCCAAGTGGGACACGGAGCAATTGTGGAGGGACTGAGGAAGGGCGGGGCACCGAACGAGGTAATCAAGTGGTTTGCGAGGTGGCTAGGGAGAAGACTGGGACACGCAGTTTTCGGCGAAGAAGTAGCAAGCAGATTGGCCACCCCAGGAGTGGGAGTGGCTCAGGGCAGCGTCGCAGGCCCGAAACTTTTCACGATAGCCATCGAGGCAGGGCTGAATGATAGAGAAGGAATAATTCTGCAACGCCTGGCGGCACGAGCAAGAATCAGTACCAATGATATAACGATCGAGATACTTGCCTTTGCGGATGATGGCACTGTAATGGTAGCCTTCAAACGCAAGGTCAAGATCCCGGTCGTAACAGTCCGTGGTATTTGCGAAGCAAGTCTTAGAGACGCCCTCCGGCCTACGAAGCTGGAGATGGATTCAGCCAAATCTCAGTCCCTTTCCAGTATGGGTTTACAGTATGAGAGGAATATCATAGAAATGAAAATGTTAGGAGTATGGATCACTCGCAGCGGTTCGCGGAAGAAGTACATCATACAGAGAGTTGACAAAGCCAAGAAGGTTGGATTTGCCCTAGCAAGATATGCAAGAAAAACCTTCGGTGTGAAACTCTCCTGCATAGTCGATCTGTAGCTTCTTCCTGAGATCCTTATCTACACTGGCGACCATGATTCTAAAAACGAGGAAGAGGTGCGTAGGCAGGCTAAGTCCTATGCTCCGGAGTTACATATCGATGACTGGATTAAAGTGAGAAGTACCGATAAGTTCACCGTCTATAGAGTACCTATGGCTGACCGTAATGCTGTGATCAAGAACAGAGGTATCTACACTAAAGCTCAGAGACTCAGAGCTCACGACTACTTGAACATTCGTGGGCCACGAATCGTGGCTGTACGAAAAGCGGTGGTCATCACAGTGTTAATGCACCATGTCAGTCTACCAAACGCTGCCTTTTCTGTGGTAGCTTGGATCATGATGCTATCTCCTGTATGTATAAGGACAGTAGGCCCTACTGTCCCTACTGAGTAGGGATCTTGGTATATCAATAACTCGACTCTCTCCTAGAGGAAGAGGGACACAACAGGGGGCCATCTTGAGCCTCTTCCTCTTCAACTTAGTTTGTTTTGATGTCTCGATTAGACTCCAGCAGGAGCTTCGACGCCGTTTAATAGGCCAATCTTCATCTAGGTCAAACTTTGAACTTCGAGCTTGTGATTGCTCATTTTACTTACGAGTTATCATAGATGGCCATACCAATTCGGCTACTGGGAGGTGTTAGTGAAAACGTTCATTTGCGCCTGCTCACAATAGGTGTGTCCCCGCACGAAAATTCCGACGAGGTGACTGTCGGTTCTGGTGTTTAGTAAACTGAGACTCAGACCGTCAGGCGGCCCGCTTGTCCGCCTGACCACTCAAGCCGCCTGACCACGTCAGGCCTGACCTGAGTCCCGCCAGCGGGCCATGGCGCGAGACGACGAACGACTCCGCCGGTCACGGCACTGGTCAGAACGCCGGTCAGAACCTCATTCGATAACCCGGTGTCCTTACCGGATGTGAATCACCTCTATCCTTTCTCTACTTTCCTCAGCTCTGGCGGTGACTTCGTCATTGGTGGAGACACCAACGGTTATAGCCATCTTTGGGGCATCTGCAGTCTGCAGGTTGCAGAGAAGACTAAAATACTCACTAACTGTAGCTCCGTGTACTATGTTCGAAGATACAATAATATCCTTGGTATTACTACTACCCCCAAGCTCAACTTCATCCACCATCTCAAAGCGAGACTAGCCAAGTGCCACCACTTGACCGTGAAGACCATGCGCTATGCTAAAAAGACTTCTGGGGTCTCCTGGTAGAGTTGCTTACCTGGTCGAGGCGGTATGGATACCCACTTTGAGTTCCGGCTTGGAAGCCCGTGGTATCTCGTTGGTCAATAAGAACACGTGCGATCTCATCGACTTGGCCTTCAGAAGAATTATCAAGCTCGCTTACCGGCTCGCACGGTGCGAGTCGCACCATCCACTCCTAATGCTTTTGTGGACATCATGAGTGAGGCCCTCCGACTGTCATATTTGCTCACCAACAAGCTGCCTACCAAGGCTCTGCACCGAACTGAGCCTTCTACAAGCTCTAACGTCCTTCCTCGCATCTTCAGCTGAAGCCCCTCTCTACTCGAAGTAGAGATATATTTCCTATCGGATGCACAGGAATGGCCTTCAGGCAATCTTTGGCCTTTCACGTGCTGACACCTACCTGTCAAGGACTAGCGGAAGGGCAAGTCCCCCATGTCTTTTTTGTAAATTACACATTATTAAATAATGCTACTACTAATTCTATCCATAGACAACTGTTCTGTTCATGCATTGGCTCCGAGGAGCTTCTGGGGGAAGGGTTCTGCATTCTTCCTTACCGGAGCCGTATATTGAGGGAGGCTCTGCTGCCAATGGGTGTTGCTAACACCCATTCGGAGCAGCAACACCGTGTTGGCAACTACCACGCCTGCTGCTCGACATAGGAGAATCAAGGTTTTAACGATTCGGCATGTCAATAAGCGGAGATCGTCTTTCATCCTCATTTCCCTGGACTTGAAAGTGGTGTTATAGAACACTTGACGGTATCCTCAGCTCTCTCGGACAGTCCAGGGAAGCTGACCCTGCGATGAGAAAAATATGCCGTAAGGTGCCGCCAAAGGCGTGACGGCCGCAACCCCTTTACACACACACATATTCACCGTTATATTTTGCAGGAACAGAGGTCTTTCCAAAGACTATGATAACACAGCTAGCCGGATTTGCTACTGGGTGAAGACCTCACACTGACCTGAAGATCCTGAGCAGAAAGAGCTTGCTGTGTGAATGCCCTTTCAGTACGAGTAATCGAACCTTGAAGTTCAAGGCTTGAACTACCACCATCCCCATTCCCACAAAAGCTGCCAATTACTGCCAGCTTTTCGACATTGCGTCGAATCAGAACTACCGATGCTGATGCTTGATGTGCGGCTATGAGATTCGAGTGCAAGCGATGATCCATCAGCACTGATGTAGTACATCAGGGGTACTACCTCAAGGTATTGCTAGGATGATCGGCATCCGGGAAGCCCGTGAGCTCCGTGACAAGTCAGTTGCGATCGTGTTAGAGTCTGATCCCAGTCTAACACTGGCAGTGTAGCACGTGTTAACTAGTTTGTGTACTAGCTCGACATTCCCCGTCTCGCTCTAATAGTTCGAGTCTAAATTCATTCGTTCAACCTTGAGCTCAGTACTGCCCAAATTAAGACCCAATGTTTCAAGAATCTAATGGGGTTTGACTAAACTAGTCTAGACTGAAACTAAACTTGTTGAGCTTATTAATGTCATGGAATACACTAGGTCGATTAAGGAACATTTATTTCCAGTATTTTGTGAATCCCGATAGCTCGTTCAAGAAATCGTATGATCTGTTGACGGAAATACTCGAGCAAGAAGATGCGAGCGACGGAAATACTCGAGCGAGCGATCGATCATTGCTTATCGCGACGGGAATTGTTTCTGTTCAACCACAGTCTTCGACAGTATTTTGTCGGTGATGCAATAGATCAAATGCATGACTACTTTTGTCTCTACGTTTTGACTAGGTACTCGCCGGAACAGTCGGAAATGTTACTACTGTTCCGATAATTCTCAACAGGAGGATATGGTGATTTCGCTGTCATGATCGTCGTCGTGTGGACGTCGAATAATCCTACTGAAGTTGTAATGCGTACATAAGACATCTTATGTCACCTACTGACATTTTTGTCACCCAAATTTTAGAGCGAGGCCATGTTCAATGTCGTCGTCAGGATGACGGAGTAGCAGCCACCAGTTTCGTTGAGTGGCTTGGACAAGTTCGTTTCGCACATGATAGCACACACTCAGTCTACTTGGTCTCGCACCTAAATTGTTCGCCAAATAGGGACCAACGACTGCTATGAGTAGCTCATTCATCGCGCTGCGCGATTCGCGCGCACGGAACTGGCCTCTGGTAACAGCGAACGTAATGTCCAGAATTACTTGAACAAATTTCTGCAGAAGGATATATCGCGCCGTGCGATTCGCGCGCATGGAATTGGTCTCCAGTAACAGTGAAGACAATGCCCGTTACTTGTAAAAATTCTGCAGCAGGACATGAGAGGCCCGAGAAGCTAATCATACTGAGAATGAGGATTACTAAAGTGAGTGCCATACATGACGCATTCTCACGCTACACGGTCCACCCATCGAGCTCGCCGGAAAGCTTGACGCTAACTTCTCAACAACGACGGAATCCGTTAACAAAATGGAGTTATAAAACTGAGGTATGTTTTGAGGTGACACCTTCCCTAATGTCTATAGCATGGACTTTTGTGAGTATCAGAGCTCCTCTATATTTCGAATGACTCCCGATTCAATATTTGCTGAAATTCGACCCAGTTCTCTATTTCATTTAATTTTATTATCGACCTAGCACTGCTGGATCAGCATACATCAGGAGGTTTTACTCTTGGCAGATTTCAACGTCACCGGTGAACACAATACCTTCAGGCAGAACTCGAGTGAAATACTGTACACAAAGCATGAGTCGAAGCTAGACCCATTGTGATGACATTCTTGTCCCGATCATCATATTGTGTGTGTTGTGTCAGTTGCTCACACGTAGGCCGCGATGGGAATGATGCACACAAGATCATATCAATAGACTGACTCATCTCTTTCCTTCTCACCACGTATGTGAATCTATGGATCATTAGCGAAAGTGCCATTGCAATGCTACCCGCACCCTCTTTCAAGTCTAACGCAAAAGTGTCATTTTGGTGATTCCCTTGAATTCTCGAATGATGATTTCAATCGCAGAATATGCACTTCGGCTGACATTTGATAGGGGTTAGAAAATGAGCATGCACAATCCAAAAAAACTATTAACTTCTGTGATTTCTGCTCATTGATAAAATCTGCGAAAAGTTAGTCGATTACGAGAGAAAGCATTTGAAGTTGAACTCCGTCTCAACGGAACCATTTTTTTCAGAAGATGCAAGTAGATAGACTTGAAAATTCCATTACAAGTGTAGCTTTTAAGATTTGTGATCGAAAGACATCCTACACAAGATTGGGTGGTTCAACCTGAGGGGTTGACGAAAATGGTCATACCTCCTCTAGCGGTTTTAGCGTAGCGCAACAGTCTTATTCAAAGTATGCAATACAGTGCAGATAACATTTCGAGGTTGAGGTAGTCGTGGATACTGGACAGTTCTTGGGGTCGGTACTCTGACTAGAGCGGTATACAAAAGTTTTTTGTTTTCAGCTTCTTCCTTTTTGTTATTACTTGCCAAACATGTTAAAGGCATACACTATCGCACTCACTTTCATCTCGTATCTCAGCATGTCCCTCTGCATGGCAGAGGAAGTTGTACTGGTTTCCGAAGCTTCCCAGTTGGTTGAAAGTTGTGATTATGCGAATGCTCCTGCAAATGTCAGCGGAAGCGATGGTTATCTTGTCGGTAGGAGTTTTCCGTGTGATGTAAATAATATTGGTATTTGGCGGAGTGGTGGCGCTGGTCGCGACCGTATACTGGTTGACGACTCGAGTAGTGATCTAGAGACTCCTAGCACGTCTTCGATGACTTCGACTACGACTAG